AGCTGGTCATGGATAAAAAGGGACAATGAAGACAGGATACCGACTTTCTAAGCATTCTGGATTAGAGCTTAAGAGAGCTGAGAGAATTGATCATTTAGGTAAATACACCACTGCCCAAGAAAGCTGGGTGGGGGTACCAACAAGACTATAAAATCTTATATTAGCCTCAGAGAACAGAAACATCTGCAAAAGCCACAGTGGGTAGGCTGGCCAAGTTCAGCAACGGGTTAGCCAGGACAGCCCTGTGACCAACAGAAAGGGCCACAGAGGGGAAGAATCAATCAGCTAGGCAAAGAGGAACAGGAGGTGACCAGCAGCGACAAGGAGGCTACAATAGCTGAAAGGAGCTAGCTGTTAACTGGGTTGCACAGAACCATGAGGGGCTATAGAGGCCTCTTCTGTCCCTCTCAGCTGGCTCCCAACCTCCCTCACACCTTCCGTGCCCACTGGCTGTCTGAGCCTGAGAACGTGGTGAATTTTCTCCTCTCTGATGACTTCGAGGTTTTAACAATGAGGTGCACTCAGCTAGCTCCCAACTCACACACACAAACAATTTAAAAGGGCAGAGATATTTCACTTTCCAACCAACATCTCTGTTTAAAGAGTTTTCTTTTTCACATCTACACTTCCATGAATTCCGAATTTGATCAACTCTGTGTTGCACAGTTTGACATTAACAAAACATCAACATTCTGACAACCTGCTGGGGTCAGAAAGGAACATCTTAAAACTCTTTGGACTTCATATTAAGACAGGCTTCCAATCCCAATCTTTGATCTCTATTATAAAGCAGTACCAATAAAATATTGTAGAGATTTATGGGCGAACTTTCATTTGAGCTGTTTCACACCTAAAATAACACAAGTGCTTGGGCCAATAGGCAGAAATTTTTGGTTTAGGTTTCAACTGTTTAGGTTTTCTTTTACTCTTAAAACTCAATTCACTTATTTAAAAGAATTACCTTAAATTTTACAATTACATTATATTTCTCTCTCAGAGAAGACAGTGGGAAACATTAACTGGATAGATGGCATGTCCTTCTGAGGACAGGCTTAAATTAGGTCAAATAGTCGCTAGCCTAACAGATATCTTTTTTTAAAAAAAAAAAGAAAAAGAAAAGAAAAAAGGGTTTTTTTTTCAAGGGATTTAAACAGACAATATTTAAATTTATCTTTCCTTCGAGTAAACCCTAGTGTTAACAAGAATAATCAAATACTTACTTCTGTGAATAACGTCTCAACAAAAGCGAATTTCATTTAGAAGGCAGTAAGACAGTATTTGGACCCAGATCTGTTGCCCTGCATGCTGTCCTGATCTCATGAGAATTCCCCATCAAGCTTAGATTGCAATCTGACATTAGTCACTCAAAGGTCAGTTGCACTGAACACAATTAGTGCCACATTCCCCCAGGTGGAAAAATAACCGGCACTCCAGTCCCCACCACATATATTCCCTCCCCCATCTGATGGAGTTGGGACAACAATTCTGCCAAATGAGAGAGCAGAGGATTTGAGAAGGATGAACGCAGCTCATCCAGATTTTAAGGAGACCTTTATAGGCAAAGTAAAGTGAAAACAGCAGAAGAGTTCCTGGACACAGTCCTTTAAGAAACAAAAATGAGTAGGAGGAAAGGTCAGAGCTGTGGTTCCAAGGAATCCGGAGGCAAAGCTGCTGCTGTCCAAGGTTGTAGGCCGGCGCCACTGGCTCCTGCCAAGCTGGGGCAGTGCCGGCAGGCGGCAGGAGCCCGCAGCCATTCAGAGGCATGATGGCCCTTCCTCCACCCAGCTCCTGATTTCAGAACTCGGGAGCAGAGTCTCAACAATAAATCCTAGAACTGTGACAATCAGGAAATCAAAGAGAACTGAAAACATGCTTAGTTATTTAACCCAATTTTGTTTCATCATTTTCTAATTTTGAAACAAAATTCCTGGTTATATGCAGCAGTTAGATAAATGCACCTGTTTAGAAGAACCTCCATTGTGACAAAAATTCCTAAATATTTGAATTAGAAGAGCAGAGTTAAACTTTTCTATGTGGGGAGAACATTTCTTTAATGCACTTTTATGTGGTCTGCAAAGAGATTGCTACTTTTATTTATCTTTCAATCATAACATTATAGTTTTTGTAGATAAAAGTGATTTTGAAGTCTCATCTCCCTTCTCTAAGAGGTCCTACATTTTTGGGCAGGGGATGTGGATGAGACATCTCCAACCTGAGGCTATAGTAATGTAGTTCATGCATTGCTAGCTCGTGGCTGGAGCACTCAAAAGTCAAATGACATTAGGTTTATTGGACGTGGCAGAGATATGTTTGGAAGTCCATCTTGTCACAGATGATACCCACTAGGGCTGAGGTGGGGGTGAACCAATCCTGCGCACCAGAGCAGAGCTACATGAGGTTTTGGGTCTGTAGGAACCGTGGGAACTTGGTTCCATGAAGGCTGTATTGAAGTAGCAGAAGCCCTGGCAGAGGTGGGCTTCAAAGCAAAGACAGAGAGTCTGAGAAACCCCTGACACAGGTTATGTCTCTATTTGTAGAAAGTCTTGGTTTCAGACTTGAAATAGAAGTACAGTCATCCCTCAGAATCCATGGGGGATGGGTTTCAGGACAACCCCCACAGATACCAAAATCTGAAAATGCTCAAGTCCCTTATATTAAATGGTGTATGTTATATTTGCATAGAACCCATGCACAACCTTTAACTCATCTCTAGATTATTTATAATCCCTAATACAATGTAAATGCTATGTAAATAGTTGTTATACTGTATAGTTTAGGGAATAACAAGAAAAAAAGTCTATACATGTTTAGTACAGATATAACTATCACAGGGCTAACTACATAGTACATGTCAGCAACAACATAACTGTTTTCCCCCTAAATGTTTTTAATATGTAGTTGGTTGGATCCAGGGATACAAAATCAGTAGATACAGTGGGATGACTATCTACTATATAATAGCTGAGCAGTTTTAGAAGCCTTGGGCTCCAGGGTAATTGTACATTTGGGATATGGGCACAGATGGTATATCCTTGGCAACAGTGTAATGGGGAGGGTTGGGTATGGAGGTGGTGTCACAGAACCATCTACGAGCACGGACATGAAATTGTCAGGGACAATTTTCAGAACCTAGGAGAACACTGGCTTCTAATAAGATGTACTACTACAGTTAGCATTATCAGGATGGTACTGATCCTTCCCTATGGCCAGGGACCAGGCATAACAAGAGCAGGTGGTCTGATTCCTAGGACCCTAGGGATGGGACATCTCTAGGATTAGCAGCACATGGATCTCTGGTGCCCTGCTCTGCCTGGGTCTAGACAGCATGTCCATAAAAGGGCCACCCATTCTGGGGAACAGCAGAAAGTGGAGGCTCAGGTGGCCAGGAATACATATTTTTCAAGCCCTGGTTTTGAAGGGGTGATAGTAAAGAGGTCAGCAATAACTAAGAGAAGGGGAATGCTGTCCTATAGACATGTCTTAATGCTTTTGCCATGATATCCATAAAGATCAAGGCTTTCTAGGGCCTCTTCAGAACCCTATGTAGGTGGTTTTCTTAAACGTATAGTTTGTTACCCATTTAAATATTTCTCTCTGGGATAGACAGCGCAGTGAATTTCCCCAGAGGCTAGAGCGGTGGTAGCCAGAGCCACGGTGGCCTGCCAGGACGTGCTGCTTTTGAGAGCAGTGCTTATAGCCTGGCTCTTCCTTCTGCCAGCTGTGCAAGGTGCCGAAAATCAGATTAGGCAGTGGAGGGAGACTGGGTTGTTGCATCCTCTCCCTAGCTGATGACATTTCAAAGTTTCCAAAATGGGGCAGGTTTAGCACCTGGGCTAGTTTCTTGCCCCTGAAAGATGGGGCCAGGTAAAAGGTTCCCAACTCCCATGTACGTGTGAGTGGGTGGGTGAATACACTTTAGTGTATTCATAGAGTAAACACCAGAATTCATGTCCTGAGGGCATGAAAGGAGGGAAAGTTCAAGCTAGTATAAGTACTAATCTAAAACTGTACCATGGGATTTAAGGAAGCTAAGTAGGAAGTGAAAGTCGAGATATAACCAAATAAGCAGATGAATGGAGGAGAAAAGAACCTGGAAGAATTCATAAGCTTCAGTAAGGGGGTAGAAATAACTCACATATGGTCTTTTATTCATCACTGTCCCAAAGGCTAAGTGCAGTGCCAGGAAGACACTGGTGCCCATTGAATACTTGTTAAAGGAGGCCTATAGACTCAGTGCCTCATCAGGAATGGCAAAATCAAGACTAGGCAGATGGTATATCCTTGGCTACCTTTGCTTTTCCATCTCTGAGAATCCAGGGTATCTTGTAAAGGGCAGGGAGGGGTCAGATGATCTCCGCCCTTTAGAACAGGGAGGTGTGGCTCACTTGGTTGAGTCCAGTGCAACAAAAGGTTGCCAGTTTAAATCCCAGCCAGGGCACATGCCCGGGTTGCAGAATCAATTCCTCTCTCTCTAAAAATCAACTTAAAAAATCTTTTTTAAAAACACAAAACTTTTTCTTAAAAGGCTAATAGTAAACTTTCATTCCATTCTTCTATAGTATGGCCGTTTAATAGATATTCATAAGTGAATGAGTGTGACTGTGTTACAATAAAAGTTTATAAAAATGGAGGCTGCTATGGCTGAGTTTGCCGAGCCCTGCTTTATTTGGAATGATAGTTTGCAAGCAGCTATTTTTCCTCATTTCTTGCTGAAGCTACTTGTTTGCATTACTTACGTGTCAGGGTCTGTAGGAAGGCTAGAGATGAATATTTGTGTCTTGCCTTTGTATCTCTTTAATTTTGTTCCTTTTGAACATATAAAGGCCTTTCTTTTTTTTTCTTTTTTTGACCATATTAGATGTGAAAAAAGATATTCAGACAAGGTTGCTGTTCCTCGGGAATTTTTTGTTTAAAGAGAAATTTTAAAAAACTTAAAAGAAGGGAATAAGATTAAATAGAAGCACATTTTTCAATCCAAGAAACCAGAGACTGATTTTTACCTTCTGAACCAAGTAGACACTTGTAGCTCTCTGAGCAGCCACTTGATCCAATTCAGAGCCCTCAGGGACAAAGTAACTGACGTCAGCAATGTGAACTCCCACTTCATAGGTGTTGCCTGTAAAGACACAAGGAAGTCCATCAGCCTGGTCTGGAAGGCAACAGCAATCCCTCCAAGAACTCTTCCCAAGAATGCATGTCACTCTCAGAGGCCAATGGGGCCCTTTCCAGTCTCAATGGGTGCTCCACCTACTCCCATAACTTCGCTGTTGTTACTTGATGAGATTTTTATCTTGAACAAACAACATTAAACAATATGTTTCCCACTTCTCTCTTAAAAAATATTTTTATTAATTTCAGAGAGGAAGGAAGATGGAGAGAGATGAAAACATTAATGATGAGAGAGAATCACTGATCGGCTGCCTCCTGCATGTCCCACACTGGAAATCCGCAATCCAGGCATATGTTCTGACCAGGAATTAACTGTGACCTCCTGGTTCATAGTTCAACGTTCAACCACTGAGCCATGACAGCCAGGTGTGTTTCCCATTTCTAAAGGCTTTCTGTCTTTGACAAAACATTAGTAGACTTGCAAAAAAAGACTCATTTTAGATGATGAACAAATCCTTTTAGGTCACTAAAAACAAGTTGGTCCACAAATCCTGCAGACTCTGCCTCTGAAAGCTCTGCTGTCCAGTCCATCTGACAACATCCTGCTTTCAGCCCTACATCTGGCCTTTCTCCCTTGACGCAGGCAGCCTCATACCCAACCTTCCCAAGAGAACACATGTGAGATAAATAGAAGTATGCAGACAGAAGTATACTGATGATATGAGCATACTGCTTCCAGTCATCTTCATAACCATGGATCTGGTGATGCCACTCCCTAGCCTGCTACTCTTGTTTTTGCACTCAATCTACCACACCAGCCTTATGACCTTAACCTCCACATGTACTATATGCAGCTGCCATGGCAAATTTCTTCCCATTCCCAGAACGTGTCTTACTCCATCCCATTCAGATACTGGCTTGGCTTATGTTTTTTCTTACACTTGAGATAATCTCAACAGGACTTGCCTATCAAGATCCTTCTTACCTTATAGGGCTAACTGAAGAGTATCCCAGAACAAGAAGAGATTCTCTACCGTTTCCTCCAGCTGCACTATTAAAACACTCAACCCATAACCAAAAATGCTTGTCATGACCATTCTTCAGAGGTCTCATCATTACCGGATATCACAGCATATCTGCACTGAGTTACTTCAATGTGTCTCTCTCCCTACAGTGTAAGCTCCGGAAAGGAAGGTCTTTGGTATAAAGTTCACTGTTGTAGGCCCAGTGCCTAGAAGAATGCCTAACACACAGTAGACACTCAGCAATACCTGTTGTGTGAATAAATCAATAATTGGTTTGCCAGTTACTCTTTCCTTTCTGGCAAAAGACCCTTCTTGTTTTCCTTTTAGAACTGCCTTTTCCTTTATTGGTGGAGCTGTTTTTCAACAGACACTGCCTTCCCTATCAGTTCCACTAGTGATGGTCAGATGATTCAGTCCAATGAAATTGAATCTAAAGCTGGGCGGGGGACCAGTGAGGTTATGCATTTAAGATTTACTCTTGAAAATCCTATAAATCATCTATTAAATGTAGTATATGGAATTACACATACACACACACACTCCCATATATATATATATGAAAATGCGCAAAATGAACAGAATATGAAAAAGAGAACACATGTGAAATAAATGTGTAGAAGTATGCTGATAGAAACATACTGATGATATGAGCACAAAAGTGAATTTGTTTAAATTTAAATATATACTTGGTGTAATTCTATTATACCTCATCCCTGTTCACAGTTACTGGTTTAGGCATAGGTATATGACTCAAGTAGATCTATTCTGAGTCTGTTTTCAGGGACTGAATTTGGACTTTAGAAAAAAGTGTATCTCTCCGAATCCAGAGATGGTGAGGTCCATTGTTAAGTCCAGAATTGCCAAGGAAATTTCTTTGTCACATAATCATGCCAATATAGTAAATAATAAGTCTAAGAAATAAAGGGAGAAATCATGATGACCTCATTTGAACTCCAGGATCCAGCTGAACTCACAACAAGACTACCTGTAGACTTGGCAATTCATGAGTGATTTGGTCATGGCGACCTCACTGAAATAATTCTGACTGAGTCCTCCACCATGTGAGGTCACATGGGAAGATCACTATCTATCTATGAACTAGGAAGCAGATCCTCATAGACACTAAATGTGTTGGCACTTTGATCTTGGACTTCCCAGCCTCCAGAACTTTAAGAAATAAATGTTGTTGTTTATAAGCCCCAAAAAAGAAAGAATCCTGACTGATATCCAAATTGACTTAGAAGAGTTTGCTAACATATCGCAAACATGCTTCTCTGTTACCTGGATAAGGTTTCACACATTTTTCTGAAAATCTTATAGCTATTTATTGTCCTCCTATTCCTTCTTCACTGGGGGATGATTCTTCCCTCAATTTTTAAAATGGAAAAACATTTATTTATTTATTTATTTGTTTGTTTTAAATATATTTTATTGATTTTTTACAGAGAGGAAGAGAGAGGGATAGAGAGTTAGAAACATCGATGAGAGAGAGAAACATCGACCAGCTACCTCCTGCACACCCCCCATCGGGGATGTGCCCGCAACCAATGTACATGCCCTTGACCAGAATCGAACCTGGGACCCTTCAGTCCGCAGACCGGTGCTCTATCCTCTCAGCCAAACCGGTTTTGGCAAAATGGAAAAACATTTAAACATGGGGTAGTTAAGGGGTTCAGGGGAGGAAAAGCATTCTTTACTCAGAGACCACCCTCCTACTGGACATTCACTGGGTTTTCCTGCCTAATCCTTTAACATTAATACATTAGAAAAACCTAAGTCCACCTCAGAGATCCTGGCTGCTGTGGGATAACAGACCAATTTCCCACAGAGGAGAAAGGACTGTCTGAAAAGCTGAGAGAAAACAGTGTGGCTCAAAGTTCAGCTGCCTCATTCTGAGAGCCACGCAGCTGTGTTGTTGGGTCATGGGGAACAGTGAAACCTGCCCTGCGATGATCGAGGAACTCAACCCCAAGAGAATGTGGCCAACAGTCTCAGACAGCTCAACTTCCAATTTTGATATTATAAGTATCTAAAGCCAACACTTGAAGAAGGTAAAACAAAGTGTCTTCTTTTGAAGTCAGAATTATAATATATTGGCCTAACAGGTAAATATTGACCAAAGGAAAAGAGAGAGGATTATTACATCATGATATAAACCATAATCTTAAATTCAGTCTCTGTGTTGTTACTACACATGAACTTTCTGTCCTTAGTCAAAATTGACAAACTGACAAAGAGTTCATTACAGGAGATAAAATATGAAGGAGGCCAATCAAAACATATTTGAGAGGCTTAAATTTCACTCAGAATTCCCAGCAGAGCCTCTAAAACCAGTAAAGAGAAGCTCTTATATTCTCTCCTTTGGACATTTTTAATGGAAACCCTAAGTAAATATTTTATTACATATATTTACATAATGTGAACTGCAGAACTCTTGAGGTAAGTTGTACTGTAGTTTTTATTATATGAAAGAGAAAATATAAATCCAAAAGGTTATATAATATATGCTGCCAAAACATTTAGGACAAATTTGATGTTTTAAAAAATACCATCTTCCATATAAAAGTATTCTCTAAATTTTTTCTTTACATTAAAACATTTTCATCTCCTGGGGCTAAGGTGAGTCTTATGAGTTCTGAAGAGCTGTGGAAGAAGAGGGAGTAAGATCCCCAGGCCAGCCATGCCTGGCAAACTCTGCAGACTTTAGTGAATACAAATGCTCCTCTGAATGAACCTGAGAAGATATCAGAACTGCTTCATCTAATTAAAACACTAGCAAAACCTAAAGCAGGGGCTTAAGAACCACCTTCTATTCCAGCCTTTCAGTCATTCAGCTGTTCCATGCTATGTGCCTGTCAGGTGGCCCCTGACACAGTCTCAAGAGGGTGGAGCTCACATTTTGGAGCCACTGCTCCATTTCTGAAGAGCTTTGGTCACAAGAAAGCGCTTCCTTACACAGACCCATGATACTCAGAAATAGAGCCCTAGTTTATTTCAGCACTGGACCTCTGTAAGAGGTAATCCCTCCATTAGAGGAGCTCACAACCTAAGGTGGTTGGCAGATATACCAATGTGGTGACAATATGATGTTACTAGTGCTATGAAAGAGAACAGTTATAAAACCTTACTGCAAGGAGCAAGTTGAGCTGAAATCTATTTTTACTTCAATGAGAACATGTCTAGTGTTTTATAATTTATAACAACATAAATGCAATGTTGACATTGATGATCACAAAAAGATAACAAGGACAGCAGCAGTGACCATTTGGTTTAATGTCTTCTTTGTGCCAGGGTCTTCACACACATTAATGTAGCTTTTATTTCACAGATGGATCATCTAAGGCTCAGAGAGGTTCCAAGTCACTTGCCCAGGTTTACCTGTCTGGTAAGTAATAAACCCTGGATTCAAAACCAGGTCAGATTTAGAGCCTTTGTTCCTTTTATTACCTCCCCTCAATCCCACCAATGTCACCATAACTTTAGGACAGGATACAACCCAATTTTTCATCTCAGTGGACCACAGCTAAAAATGCCTCTCTATGTCTTCTGATTCTATAGAAGCCACATTCCTTTTTTTAAAATATATTTTATTGATTTTTTTATAGAGAGGAAGAGAGAGGAATAGAGAGTTAGAAACATCGATGAGAGAGAATCATCAATCAGCTGCCTCCAGCACACCCCCCACTGGGTATGTGCCCGCAACCAAGGTACATGCCCTTGACCGGAATTGAACCCGGGACCTTTCAGTCCGCAGGCCAACTCTATCCATTGAGCCAAACCAGTTTCAGCAGAAGCCACATTCTTGCTATGGATTCATAAGTCCTGTCAGGAATTTTCTTAGCCTTATACACAGTCACATCTCTGACCCTGCAGATGCTTTTTGGTTCCCATTGCCAATCTCCTTGGCCACTTGTAGCAGGGCCTGATTCTAGAGTAAGCACTAAGCTATCAACTCTAGTTCTACTTAATTAAAGCCCTTGAG